AAATTCCACGACCACCTACAACTAATAATCCAATCATTCATGGCATTGACGGTTCGGTCGTGACTGAATCCCGTTAGCCCGAGGTTGATGTCAAACATTTCCTGCCGGTTCGCGGAATTTTTGAGTTGAACAAGAGTAAGAGCTCGTCAGCTGTGTCCACCAGTCACTCCTGTTCTCGGAGAATCGGTTTGCACGATTTGTATGCCGATTCCATTTCGTAGACATACTGCTATTGGAAATAAAAATGACGAAAAAAGGGCATGCGTGGCTGAAAGTGATAGACAACGTTATCAACCTCAGTCTCCTGATGGATACGACTGTTTATGACACTTACCCTTCCTCCTATCTGGATCTCCCTTCAACTGACACTGTTCACAAGACTGGTGAAACTCCACCAACGGTGTCACCCTTCTTCGACCCATCAAGCAGACAAACCCCCCAAATTTCTATCAATCTGGATCTTCGTCAGCTATTTGGATTTGCCTGATGATGCCAAAATGTAACGTATGTATACACAATATAATTCTCGGGAGAGCGAATGAACATATCTGAAAATCACAGCAATATGACTAGCCGTTGGTGTAAAGGCGGTCGTTCGGTGCGCACTTATTATTAGTATTAGGCTGATAGTTCCATTTTGTCCATTCATTCATGTCACCAGGTTGCTTGAAGTTTTGATCTGTTGACAAACTTTTTCGTCTGGTGTAATTGTTTTCTGTCCCTATCCGGTAACGATGTTTATCGTAATCATTTAGACGTATGCAACTGACCAGATTTCATTTGTTTGCAGCTCACAATGGCTGAGGTGCCATGTGATCTAGTCCACCCAAAATTCCCTACTTCTCATCGTTGGTGTGTTTCGGTGACCGGTTGTGGTGAATTTCTAGTGTGGACAGCTTCAGGTATGTTTTAGGTGAGTTTTGTTCTCTCATACTTGTTTGATCGAGACCGTTTCTTGGTCATTGAAGAAACAGTGGTCGATTAAGATGTAAAAACCTGGGCAATGATTCTGGTTCGAGTACTACTGTGGAACCCTGCATTAACATGACTCTATGTTTGATAGTTGAACCCCATGTTTCGTTGACGCGTGTTGCTTGCATTATTCTGTCTATTGGCGGTGTATGAGAATTTTTCCGTCCTTCCTCCTAAATCCTTACTTGGATTTTTGCTGTATTCTTCACTTCATTAGCGGCAAAATGGCTGCGTGAAGATTGTCGTATAATTGGACGGGCCTCTTACTCCGTGGAGATGACTGCCAAGTCATCCGGCTCCTCTTCCAACGTTCCCAACAGACTACCCGTGCGACTTAGTTTTGAAGAGACAGCTCATCTACTCAATTCTCGTGTGATTGGCGGCCTCACTGTTCCTCTTCCCATCAGCCAGGTGAACTCACCTACCTCTGAACAGAAAAGTGACTTTGCTGCGGCAGTTGATTTGAACAGGAAAGAAATGGTAGGTTCGCTGTCAACAGGTAACCAGGGTCAAACTTAGCTGAAAATATACTGTATTCTTGTGATTCGTCAGAAACGCTGCTTGGTAAGTTTTCGTTCTTCCGACTTCTCATGTATGGTTCTTCTACGGTGCAGTATAAAAAGGACCAGATCATTTCAAGGAGGTTAGTCGCGGGCATCATGTTATGTCGAAGGTCACGTCTGTTCGGGACTAGAGGGCGGATTAGCTTGGCTTTCAGCGGTCTCATCCTGTCAGGAAGGGCTAACCTGATCAGGCTTAGTGGTATTATTCCAGTGGATTTCGTTCTTCTTGATGTTACTCCTTCCTCTATCCTGTTTTTGCTCTAGCAAGAATTATTCCAAGCCAAACGTCGTCTAGAATTGAGTGGCTATTATGGTCAGCTTGTCCATGGCCTTGCGGTAAGCAAACAGCGCCATGCACGGGGCGGGGATGCTGCGCAGTTGTCTGACGAGTCGAAGAAACGTAAGCTCTTGTTTTTTGACGTACCCGTTCATCCTCATATAATTCATTGATTTGTTTCACACACAGTGGCACCCCCTAAGATAGGAGATTTTCATATATGGGTGTGATGTACCATTCATAAGGTTGCTGAAAATTCTTCGACAGTCTACAATCGGTTTGTCCTTCTTCGAGCTCATCTTATAGGCACAGTCCCCTGTGTTTCCGACAACCTTATTTTCTACTTGAACGAAATTGGTGGACTCCACTCATTCATAAACCAGTTTTGTTTTGTGATAGACTCACCTAGAACCAGCTGAATCGCTCGTTTATAATGGGATTTTCCTTCTTAGAGGTGCAAGTTCTAAGCTCTAGATTCGGGGTTATTTTTCTGTTCAGTTGTTGGTCAGCAAAGAACGAATATAACTGTCTTTCATACTGCGTTAGGTTGATTTTTCGATACGTGGGATATCCTGAAAGAAACCACAGAAAATTGCCGAAGGTTTTCAGCCCACGCTGCCCCTCCTAGATATCGATATCCTCCGCAAGATGCCAACTTTCCAGCTCCATCAAATGATCTTGGTTTTCCGTAACTTTAACACAATCCACTGTCCTCAGTCATCGGAGAGTTTAGAGACGCTAGGTGGTTTATATAGGTTTTTAACTTACAGTCTGTCGACATTATTAACTTCTCTTGTATGTGGGATGAATTTTCCTCCTGTGGCGTTTAGACTCCGCATATCGGATTTCATCCAAATCACTCGGACGGTTTGCTGGTGGGGAATCGACCTCACGACTCGCACCGCCTGTGGTTTCAGACTACATCGTCGTCTCCATCCATGCGGCAAATATGACAGCACTTGGTTACATTAGAGTCGCACAAGCTCTGGAGTGCAATATTTTGCGGATGAAAGAATCGTTCCGTAAATTTTCAATGAAGTGCGAGGTTTCGGTATCGCAGCTTTGGTGGAACAATGCCTTGACAGTGAGATTGACGCAGTACATCTGATCTCGATAGAAAGAAAGTGTGATAGGGTGTTTGGAAACAATAGGGGGAAAAGTCTGTCGACTTCAAAGTGCCTTCAAAGTTGGTGAACTCCTGACGTCTCTAAGAGCAGTGTAAGTTACATTAGTATATATTTTTTTGTTCAGCCATCGTACCTCTTCAGCGCTCGGCTTTCATTCGGCCTGAATGAAATACGAGGGTTGGGATACAGCCGAGTTGACCAAGATGGGACGGGATCACTCGGAACGCCGGGTTTCGGGTCATAGCTTAGATCAGTAGCCTCACACCCTGACCATTTAACAATTTCTGTCTCCTTTGCAACTTTCCTTTTGATATACACTTAGGGCTTAGACAATAAGGACAGGATGTCACTGTCCGCCAAAATGTTTGCTCTTTCACAAAACATCATTGACAGCAGCAGATCCTCTGAAACATTTTCGTGGCCTTGGAATTCGTTGAGTTTTTGTCCTTCAGTTTGAGCTGTTTGGTCGATCGTCCTTAGGCTTCTCCATCCATGGTACACCAAATTTAGCGTAGTGGTCCGCTGTTCCAACCCGTGTAGTCCAAAGATAAGAGAGTTAGATTTCGCGTCGCTGTCATACATGCTGATGAAATGCACAGCCCCCCCCCCACTCCAAACGTGGGGGTACTTTGGTATTTTTACCTGATATAGCTCCATGCTTTTTTGTTCACTTTTAGTGGGGAAGGGATTTGGTTTTAGTGTATCTGGTTCTGTATTCAAACACATTTGTGTGCGCTTTCAAGTTGTTCGCCACTACCTAAGAGGACTTGCCTTCCTTTTTGAGGTTGAGCTACTGGCGCTACAGACATTACCCAGCTCCTCGTTGACCTGTATTGGCGATCTGCCACTTAAGCGATCAGTGCATGAACTAACAAATGTTGCATCCTGTGGCTTCATAATTTTTTCGGTCATGTAGCTTTTCAACTGCCTGTCTCCGACGCCTCCAGTCGCCCGGCGTCTTTTTGACTGAATCCAACGATCTGCGTCCTACCTTTGAAGCACAGTAAGATTGCACTTCTCACGATGTGGGACTTGATCATAGCTGCATAGTTAAGCTATCATTGAGTGAGTAGGTCGATTCACCAGTATTTTTTTTCAAATCTTTGTTGACGTTGGCCTGAACGCACCACCGTTGAGCCCATGCCCCAATGCGCATTTCGTAATTCACTGTATTGCATCCAGATCATCCGATAAGTATGTTGTCAAAGTAATTAGTCGAGAATGAAGTTACCCAGCACATTTAATCTCCGTGTTTAGTGGATGGGGATCCATTTCACACCGAGCCGTGTCCGCGTTTCCTTCTCTCTGAAGAAACTGGGAAAAGTTGGACCGAAATCGTCAAAAGTTTCTTGACCTTTTTTGGAGAATGTAATATTTTGCACATCAGTCCAATACTAAATCGGCCGACCTGCTTATAAAGCAGATCTGGACAAGCACAAAACGTGTCCGTATTCGAATGAACCGCATTGTCTCGCGTGAGCTTTCCTATCCATGACCAATTGGGTTTTATCAGCTGGAACTACTCTCCAGTTTTCAGTTTTTTATCTTTAAATTGTCCAGCTGTAACACTTTCAGTGCCTAGTTGCCATGCCATCGGAAGGAAGCACAAGGGCTGGGATACTGGTAGGTTGCTCAAACATAGAAAGGAGACGTCAAGAGGCAGAGGTTGGGTTCGAACCACGAACCTTTCTCTCAGTAAATTCACACTCTAACCATTGAGCAATTCTGCTCCTTTTTATCTTTAGAGGAATTTTAATTCGTTGAACCTTTACTTATCCTCCGTAGTTTCCGTTCGCCAACGGCGCAAGATGATTCGTCTTCATAAGAAACGACTTCGATCGAGCGGGTGCGATATCATTACACAAGGCGAGGAGGATGATCACATGGATTTTAACAATTCGGAAGAAGATTCAGACGTAACCGACGCACCTACTTTGACTAGTCTCATTGACTATTATGACCGCGGACGGACCGCGGAACCTGTTCTCAATGAAGGTGATACTCTTCCCATACATGAAAACTACGAGGATCCCATTCCTCGACACAATCCCCGTCCCACCCCTTTGGAATGGATACGTCCTGGTGAAGTGGACTATACTCCTGTACCAGATTCAGTTCTAAATGGTGGGCTTTGCGAAGGTCAGTTCTCCTCTTGCACACCGAATTCATTGGATTCTGACGTTCGACCTTCTGTGTTACGTGACATTTTATCTGACTTCACTGTTGTTGCTCATTACGTCATCCTAACAGAACGTGTCGGTTTTTCCTGTCACCCTTGTTCAAATCCGCCCACGTTTATCCGTCCTTTCTGGGGCAGACTTGGTGAGATGGGTTCCTAGTTCCTGAATCATTTCTTTAACTTGTTAAGAACAGTCTCCTCCGTGTAGCCTTTGATTTTTAGTTACAATGATTTAGATCCACAATTTAGCTGATATGCCGTATTGTTTCAATAAACGTTTGTTGCAGCTCCGATAAAACGGGGCATAGCGTAATATTTTTTAATGAATCGACTTTTGTCCAGTCCGAGAGTGCGTCTGGAGGGGGCTTGCAGGAGGGTTTACCTGGGGTTTCTTCATGCTGAGAAGCACGCTCAGGCACCTGGGATACAGAAAAAAGGAAATCGTTCAGCTGCAGCACTCTTTCGGTGCATAATTGTCATGCCACCTGAAGGAAGGAAGCACGAGGGCTGGGATACTTCCAGGTTGCCCAAGCCTGGTTCACCCCACCTGGGGTACACTAGAAAATGAAGCTACCTGAACCGTCGGCTCATGCCACCTAAGGAAGGAAGCACGAGGGCTGGGATACTGCCAGGTTGCCCAAGCCTGGTTCACCCCACCTGGGGTACACTAGAAAATGAAGCTACCTGAACCGTCGGCTGAGCTGTTTTCTTAAACTGTCTGGAATTCGCACACGAGTGGTTGAGTCGCACTCAACTATGCACTGGTTATCGATTTGCATGGCTTAGCTTCTTAAGAATGAGTTAAACTGGTTTGATTTCGTTGACGAGTTTGAGTTCGTGAATGAGTTGATGAAACTTCTAATCACTCTTGCGAAAAATTCTTTGCTTCTAGCTGAGTGCTCCTCCACGATGGTGGAGAGTTTCCTGCTCGATCACCGCAATTTAAAGTTAGTACGGAAGGCTCACGCCGTAAAAATATCCGATTCGCCGGTTTTTTTCCCAAGGGCGTTTCCCAGACAAAGGTCTCATGTAAAGATGGGAATGCTGTATTCGGAACCAATACACTCCTGCATTTAAGGTGCTTCTTATGTCAACCTTCCTTGGGATGCCGCATTGTAAGAACATCGTAGACGAGAGATTCAGCTGGGTACCGATTGAGTACCGGCAAAGCCAGATTGCTATGCAAATAGATGTATGAAGCTAATGTTCCTTCTTTCTCCATCGCTTCCCATCCAATATCTTCGCAATTACAGTTGCCTCTTGGCTTTTTGAACAACTAAACCTTATAGTTGTTCGATCCCAAACTGAGCCTGATTCGTCCATTCCTGTGAGGCTACCAAACTTGGAGCGACTGCGTCTCCGTTGCCGTGTGTTTTCAAGTCTTTGGTCGAAAGGCTTCTACATCACTACTTCAAGCGCCAAAATGGGTGGAGATTTTTTGGTCTACCCAGGTAACTTCCGTGTTGGTATGAGTTAGCTTCTGTTTTTCCTCGATTTGCTTTTCTCCTTTCTGATACCAACTGTTTTTCCCTTTGTATGTTTTTAGGTGATCCGCTTTTGTTTCACGCAAGTCACATCATCGTTGTTCATCTACCTGACGAACTTGTCCTGCCCCATCAATTGGCTGCGAGACTTCGTCTGGCAAACAGCGTCAGGAAAATCCTTGTTTTGGCTACGGTTTCAGTGGAACAGTCGGATTCTGGAGTTCTTTACACTTCGTTTAGTTGGACCAACTGGCTGCGACAAACCTGAATGCAGTGTCTTTCATGATTAGTTTTTGTACATAATAAAGTCACACTACAACGCGAAAATAGTGATTTCTGTTCGTTCCATTTTCGTGTTTGGTTTGTTTGTTTCCCTTCTTGTTGACTCCCCGAGAAGAACAGACGTTCTCTTCCCGAAGGGACATCGATGGTTAGATTGATCGCGATTACCTGGATACCCACTTTTTCGGGTGCAAAAACAGTCACCTATTTGCGAGTAGATTGTCCGAGTGAATTAGCTAGATTTCTAGACAAGGATAGCACAATGCTGTAGTACTTCTGTCTACTGACATTTTATATAACAACTTCATCCATACTAATATCATAGGTTGTGCATCTCGTTCACATTTTAAAAAAAAATCGTGTGAAGCCAAAAACCTTTTCCAAGACAATTCCAAAAGCACTTGGTTTTTTCCATACCTAGTACGTCATGTTATCCACTCCGACTCATCAGACTGTGGCTGACTTCCAGTACTTTAGGGTGATGCCGTTTTGATAAGAAAATTGAACGCCAACTACGCTTCAAACTCATCCAGTTTGCCTCAGGCCGGGGTTGTTAGACTTGATTCCGTGACTGAATGTGCTCCACCAGGCCCTCTCACGTTTTACTCGAGATGCCGCATCATATTGCCGTAATACCCTACTCGTATGGTTGCTGAAGCACAACAGCTGGGCTTCAGGCGAGTCTCCCGTGAAAGCCAACTTGATATGCAAATGAGTGTCCAGTTGGGTTCAAGTAGAATAAAAGGTTGACAAAAACTCAGGGACTGTGACTACTTGCTAAGCTCCAAGAAAGGCGAAACCGATCGTGGGCTGTCGAAGAGTTTTCAATACCCTTGTGAATAGTTTCCTTCATGAAAATATGCTGCGTTATCTCAAATATCGTACCAGCTGGGACATGAGTTGACCTGGTGCAGCACATTCAGTCGAAGAGGATCATAAACAGCTGGGTTTCAAGTGACCGTCACGAAGAGACTGGACCTTACCGTGGTGTGACGGTTTGCGCACCTCAGCGGCCCATTGACCTATAGTAAGGGTTGTCCCCGCGACACTCACAGGGTCTCTCATACCGGGTTGGTCAATGGTTAGAGTTCTGACGAACACAGAATCCTGGTTGGAGTTGGGCTTTTTGTCCCATGAGTCTCCTTCAAATGCTTCACCATCAGATGTGAACGCATACTGTAGCGACCGAGTCACCCATATACTTGACTGTTCAACTCAAAGTCGCTCACTGGATCGCGAGGCTTGTCTATTTTCTCATACGCACAAACACGTCGCATTAACTTGTTTTTTTTTGTTTCCTTTTCGTGACAGTTAGGTATGAGTCAGTGAATGTCACCACGTGCGTGGTCGTAAACCCGCAAAACTCATAAAGAATGAAGACCATGAATTTGAGATATTGCTTCTCCCGACGGGTAGCCCTCATTAACGGGTTTTCGCGGCCGTGTATTCTATACGTCCTGTCTTCACCTGCTTTACTAAATAGAACCCTAAGCTCGTTCAGTTTTAGGTTCAAGAATTTCGGCACATCATGAAGCCACTCGGCAGTGACCCTTGTTTTTACTTTAGATTAGATTCCTTGCATCTAGCCTCCTTTTTGTTTAAGTAACCAGGTTGGTGCCTGTTTTAATGGGGCTTCGATAAATCCATAGCAGACTAAAAAACTGTTTCCATATGTGGATTGTTCCTTATGGAGGGCGTGTTGTACTTGATTGTCAGGCCATATGCCAGCCACGAACCAGAGCTACCGTTCGCAGAATATGAATATCAACCTTATTCTCCGAAGCCCGTTATCATTTTCTTCACCTTTCTCAAACTCTCCAGATTTTTATGGAAGTATCTGCTTCATCTGAATTTAACTAGCTCGCCATTAAACAAAGACTGTCTGTTGCAGAAATTCACCCGCTTGCAAATTCTGTCGGTATTAACGAGAAACCCAACCAAATCTCTTGTTTATGGTATAAAAAAGAATCAAAATAATCGTCCGGCCTTAATATCCTTCAGTGCCTGACTGTCATACCACCCGAAGGAAGCACGAGGGTTCAAATACTGCCAGGTTTCCCAGGCCTATACAAGAGCGGTTTAGATGCTGAGGTTGGGCTCGAATCATGGTCTTTCGGTCAGTATGTTGGCACTTTAAAGACTAAGCTATCCCGAGCTCATGATATGATGTCATTCGGTTGAATGTGCTGCATAAAACCCCCTTATTTCCCAGTTGGTACGACAGAACACACTTTTAAAAGCTTCCTGATGTCTGCTCGACAGTCCGCCGCTCCAGTTGCCATTCCTTGGGCTCATCAGCTAGGCGTAGTCCCCAACTTTTTATCTGCATTAAGTCCTACTTGAGGACTAACTGGTTCGCGACTGAAGCGATTCAATCATTTGGTGTTAAGTGTGCCTATCTGGTGACCCTCAGGAAGAGTAAAACGGGTAGTGAGCTATCGGAGGGTCTTCAGTAACCTGGTAAGTAGTGTATGCTATCAACAAAGCCTTTCTTTCAGCCTAGTCTTGAGAAAATTTTCTTTCTTAAAAAAGTTACAACTTATCCTCTTTAACTATAATTCACTTGTGTTCGTATCTCTTTACAGTTGTCTATGTCTCCCTCTCCGTTTCAAATTAAACATAAAGATGACTGAAGAGGATAACCCTCTGAGTTTGCCATTGGAAACTATGGATTTATCCTCGTGGGACGAATCATTGTTGACCGAAATGGAACGTGAACTGTTGTCGTTCGAAAGCTTTCGGTCCATTCTCTTCGGAGAGCTCTTGTCTTGCTGCCATTCTGTACTAGTTCAGACTGTGTGGAAGGTTTCTCTCGTATTGAGTTTATGCCTTCTGTGTCGCGTTACTCATATGTTGTCTTACGCCTGCTTCAAGTGGCAAGGTAAGCAAATCGTATGCCCTTTTCCATTTTGGGAAACATTTAAAGTGTTTAGATTCGTCGCCACAGTGGGAACACTATCAGATCTTTGTTACCACAAGTGCTTTGTTTCGTCTCTTGTTGTGCATGCCGTTCTGTGTACTCTGATCAGTATGTTTGCAGTCGGAGACTGTTTTGACGTCATCTGTTGATTCAGATGTCTACAGTGCGTTTCAGCTTGTCCATATCTTGGTACACAGTTCTTTTTCTATCCTGTTGCTAAACTCCAAGCGTTCGGAGGAAGACTTACCACAACCATTCAGTCGTCTTAGACGTGCGTCCTTCATAACAAGACACACTGGCAATGTTCCGGCATGTGTGTAACCTTGCTACTTGATAGCCGGTTTGTTCGTAGCAAGATGACTGCCAGGTTCGGAGAGCTAGCCAACAACTCAGGTACATAGTCGTAGTGTATGCTATCAACACAGCCTTTCTTTCAGCTTAGTCTTGAGAAAATTTTCTTTCTTAAAAAAGTTACAACTTATCCTCTTTAACTATAATTCACTTGTGTTCGTATCTCTTTACAGTTGTCTATGTCTCCCTCTCCGTTTCAAATTAAACATAAAGATGACTGAAGAGGATAACCCTCTGAGTTTGCCATTGGAAACTATGGATTTATCCTCGTGGGACGAATCATTGTTGACCGAAATGGAACGTGAACTGTTGTCGTTCGAAAGCTTTCGGTCCATTCTCTTCGGAGAGCTCTTGTCTTGCTGCCATTCTGTACTAGTTCAGACTGTGTGGAAGGTTTCTCTCGTATTGAGTTTATGCCTTCTGTGTCGCGTTACTCATATGTTGTCTTACGCCTGCTTCAAGTGGCAAGGTAAGCAAATCGTATGCCCTTTTCCATTTTGGGAAACATTTAAAGTGTTTAGATTCGTCGCCACAGTGGGAACACTATCAGATCTTTGTTACCACAAGTGCTTTGTTTCGTCTCTTGTTGTGCATGCCTTCAGGAAGACTCTGATCATTATGTTTGCATTCGGCGCCAGTTTTGACGTCATCTGTTGATTCAGATGTCTACAGTGCGTTTCAGCTTGTCCATATCTTGGTACACAGTTCTTTTTCTATCCTGTTGCTAAACTCCAAGCGTTCGGAGGAAGACTTACCACAACCATTCAGTCGTCTTAGACGTGCGTCCTTCATAACAAGACACACTGGCAATGTTCCGGCATGTGTGTAACCTTGCTACTTGATAGCCGGTTTGTTCGTAGCAAGATGACTGCCAGGTTCGGAGAGCTAGCCAACAACTCAGGTACATAGTCCCAAGGATTAACTTGTCTTTTCTACTTCCAGTATCACAAACAAGTATGCCTTCTAGATGAACTCTTCCGTGCTTTAGTTGGACCAGTGATTAGAGCCAAGTCTTGGTGATTGGTACCGCCGAACACACCATGAACGTGTAAAACATGGAAAGATCTGGTTTTCAGCATCGTGAACATTCTCAGTATGCCTGGAAAGCCGGTCTTCGAGGCCGTCTGGAAGTTATATCTTCTTGGGGGGAAGTAACCATGGGAACGCACACCAAGATACCAACATAAAATGGTCGTTCCTAGAGGAAGTCTTTCCGGCTGAGTGTATTTCTCACATCCGTAGTCTCTCTTTCTTGATACTCCGTTCTCAAATTCGCACAGAACATCTACAACCAAGTTATGCAGTCATAGTTGGCAAATCTTAACCGCACTCTGGGGTTCCTAACTTGCGTCGAGTCTAGTGACACAGACGAAGTGGATTTTCAGGTGGATTAAAGATAGCGATGAAACAGATGCAAAGTGTATTTATTCTCTTTTAGTCTGGTTGATTTTACCGTGAATGAAACTCCAAGGATCTAGGAATAAAAGAGGACATCTCTCAATTCACGTGGATGTGGCAAGTCATTACTCGAACAGTCAGATCACCTGGTGTGAACTACGTCATCGAGCGATGCTCAGTGGTACATTACCCTGATGAGGCATTCGTAGTTGAGTGGTGTATTGTTCAAACTCCTACACGGGAGATTATTTTTTCGAGCTTCTCTGCATTTTTACGAAATTTGCACTACCTGTGAATCCGAACAGGAAATGCAATACCTCTCTATCGTATCTCGGTTTTCGCACTACTCGCCAAAAGTTGCGCCCAGGTTCTGCTGTACCTGTGGAGGTCGGCCACGCGCCCTTACGGGAAGATGGGCATTATTTGATGTAATCAGCGATGCTCTGCTGCTATCCTGTCACGCTAGACAATGATAAACGTACAAAAACATGTCCGTCCAGTCCCAGAATACTGTGCGTTTTCTTGTCGGAGCTTCGGTTTTTCATTTGGATTCTTACCGTATTGAGACACATAAAGGCCACTAGATAAATCATGTTTGTACGACAGCCAAGCACCATTGTTGAACTCCGATGCTATGCTGTTAATGGTGGTGACAATGACACCTAAAAGCTACTTACTATTTATCAGTCAGCTGTGCGGAGCATGACAATCAGTCCTATTGGCAATGCTATTAACCGAGCTCGGTTGTTTGTGAATAACTTGGATAGCACCATCGCTTACTTCATTCATTGGAGTTTATGGGACCCAAATAAACACTATATCATCTTGGAAGTTGCTTTTTAAAGACCTTGTAATTCCGGGTTACCTTCTACGAGCATTCATGGTCTTCGATTTACGTACCCTGTGTGATGCATAATGTTTGTGCACCCAGTGGCTAGTTTCATCAGCGTTAGTAACGTTCCCGTTGATGATTGGGTGGTAAGGCTATCAGGCTTTGATTAACATCGTATCCGGTTGGTATCTAGCTGTGATCTGGTCTTAATTGACATTGTAGTTAAGCTGTTCGATCACATAGCCCACGGTGGCCTTGCTTGGGACGATCAACTAAGGTGTACGGCAAGCATTCTTGTGGCACACTCACTGGTCACACTATAACTCTCCGAATCCGCAGACCAGAAACTGGTTGCAAACCTTATTCTTATAGGTATCTCTCAAACGCACACGTATATCAATATCTTCATCACCGGTTTTGAGTATATCTTTTTGCGTAAATCAATATTGTATTGATTTGGTTTGAGTTTGTGTATCAGTCCACTATTTTTCTCCATTCCCATTTATCAGGGCTTTCGTAAGTGAGCACAAAGGTGGTTCGTATACTGGTTGTGTGGTTTTAAGTTTCCCTCCCAATTTTCGTTTTGTGTGTTCTTCCCATATTTGGTTTTTCGCTTGTAAAGATGCTTTCCGCTTATTCTAACATGATGTGGCGATGTAATTCACTGTACCTGATTGATCCCCCATATGTAGGGACAGTAGGATCGATTTCCAAATAGACTGGGAGTTCCAACGGTAGACTTTGTACGACAGAACCCGTTGCGGCACTTAAACTTGAGGTGGCTGGGTATTTGGTGGTTATCCCGGTTTCTTTCAGACGTCTTCTGTGACTTGCGATGTGTATGTTTCATTCAATACGATTTCTGTAATGAAGGAAGGTTAAGGAACTAACTTTCAAGGGTTTCCGATTACTTACCAAAGAATTTAGCACTCAGTGGTCGAAAATTCCATCCAGTTCAATCATTCCGTACTCACCGCATCTGAACGAGTGCAAAAAACCAAGAAAGTCAGCCGGAGTCGTAAACTCTCGGAACAACAGTTTATTTTACTTCGCTGAAGCAGCAGTGTTACAAACCAGACTTGTTTAAACAGGCTGGTTTGGGGGAGGGTAAGCTTCGTAAACCCAGTGTCGAATCATAGCCACAGCTCCATTATTTTTGTCTAACCTGACATGTCGTCTGATAACTTGCGCGCCGTAATGATTTCACCAGCCTACAATGGCTCACCTACCCAGGAACCTGCCCATCATGCCACTCCAACCCTGTTCTGGAACGCCAGCAATCAGCTGATGGAAAAGTCATATTCGTTGGATTCAATCCTTCCAATCATGAGGCTTCTTTTTGTATATGAGGAGAACTGAATGCATAGGAATTTGACGTACTTGAGACTGTTAACCTGACCGTAAATCAGCAAGACGAGTCATCGCATGATAGAAATAAACCGAGCGACTGATTGCCTCGGCACACGTCAGCTTCAATAGAGATTCGACTATCTTGGGCAGGAGCCGAGTTTGGCTGTTAAGTACCAACTTCTTTGTGTGGTGCGTACAAACAAACTGTTAGTCAAGGAAAAAGAAAGAAAGCGTTCAGCTGTAGCATCTGAGTAACCCAGGAAAGTAATTTGTGCAAAACATGACGCATTCAGGTCGTGTCCACCGGCGGCGGAGTCCTCCACTAAAGTAGAAAAGAAAGAAAGCCTTCAGCTGTAGCAGCCTTCCGGTGCCTACTGCCATGCCACACGAAGGAAGCACGAGGGCTGGGATACTGCCAGGTTGCCCAAGCCTAGAACAGGGGAAGCGAGTGGCGGAGGTCGGATTCGAACCACGGACCTTCCGGTCAGTAAATTCGGGCTCTAACCACTTGGGTCCAGGAAATGCGGGTTTAAACAATTCTCTTCATGTCACGCGTAAATTAAGGTTGAATCGATCGTATTTGTATGGACCAAAACAAACTTGGTGCAGCGCAAAAAACATTCCCTAGCCAGACGTTCGAGACTGATGGGAATACGTATCATCAGAGGAGCTGAACCGTTGTGTATGAAAAATGCGCCTTCGGCGGTAGTGGATCGGACTTATGGACTAATTATCGAAAGTATTGGTTAGCTGAATTGTTGCAAGCAGCTTTTTACCTCTGGCTGTACTTTCTAAGTTCAGTGTGTCTGTGTGGGATTTTCTAGCGAGTTTAGAGCATTTCTCACTTTGGAGTAATCCGAAGCAACAGTCAAGCTTTTCGGGACTAACTTTACTGTTCATGACCCGCCCCTCCTGCAGCGTGGGGAAAAGAGAAAAGAAAGAAATCGTTTAGCTAGCTCACCCTTCCGCTGCCTAGCTGCCATGCCACCCGAAGGAAGCACGACGGCTGGGATACTGCCAGGTTGCCCAAGCCTAAACAGGGGAAGTCGATTGGTGGAGGTCGGATTCGCTTGCACCAGTTCGGAGTTGAATTCTGATAAGTGATAGACTAAGGGTGCGGAGGTTCAGAATATGTCGCTGGCTAGGTTTGTTACGCACTGGGAATCATGATGCAATGTCATTGATTGTGTAATGACGGGGAACACGGTTCGATGTTGCGCGGAAACTGTTCAGATCACTTAGAAGAATGCCAAAACGAATCTAGAGACGATGTATGATCGTCTCAATACACCATAAAAAAGGGCACATTGGCGCTTCTGTCAATTTGATCATGTTTAGCAGACAATTTGTTGTTTTGGTGACTTTTTAGTCCTTTGTGGTCAAACTTGAATTCTGTCTGGTTACGCAGCTAACTCTTTTCCACTTTACTCTGTTTGGTTTGCCAGGCAGGAGTCATCTTGTACCAGCCGTTTTGAATCAATTCCTGGAAATACTATCAGGCAAGTGGCTTCTTTTACCCAGTCATTCTGTCGCTCGATTCAACCAAGATGGTTTCAGATAAACACTACCCTTGCTAGCAGTCATACCATTCTGAATCGGCCCTGTCCCCTTTCCCCTCACAATCAGTCATAGCTCATTGGGCCGTTTTCCATTTCTACAGGTCTCTTTTTACTTCACTGCTTTTACGATGAGCGGTATTCGGTCGTTCTGAGCCTCGTCGGATGTCTTGGTCTCGTGTTCACCCTGAAACCCCTACATGCTTCAGTGATTCCGGTGCTGACAATCTGCGTTGCCGTTTTATCATATTGGTAAGGTTAAATCCAAAACCTGCCATATTTTCCTACACAGGCGTTCATTTTACTAGACGCTCGTCTGATCCGCGAAGTTTTTGTATCATCTAGTTGTGACCAGTTTTTCCATATCCTTCTTACTCATGGCCTGCCTGGATATTCTGTTTTTCCGAAGCTTAGGTTACTATCTGCCAGTTTCTCCTATTATAAGGCGGTTTCTCACCATTCATAAACCATGGACTGCGATGAAAATCGTTTGATTTGGTGTGTGCGCCTTTCCTTTGTCGAGTCGAGGGAGCGAAATCCACTCTTAGTGTGCTTCTAACATAGATTTCCCCATTCCCCTGTATTATTTTTTTTCGTTCAACAGTGAGTTTGCCATGGATCCAGAGAAGTGGCACCAGGAACGAGGTAGGTTTATCATGTGAAAACATACATTTGTGACGCTTTCCAGATCTGCCACTATCTTATGCACACACGCTTCTTTCCTCCACTTGCCTTAGTTTGTTACACCATTGATTCACTCACTTATTGGCTGTTGATTGTGTGACAGCTGATCTATTCGGCAAGCTCGACGAACAGATTACCGCCTGATTAACAATCAATAAACTCAACCGATCCCCATTCCCCTGTATTATTTTTTTTCGTTCAACAGTGAGTTTGCCATGGATCCAGAGAAGTGGCATCAAGAACGAGGTGGGTTTCTCATGTGAAGACATACAATCGTGGTCTTTTCCAGATTTGCTACTACCTTAGGGACGCACGCTTCTTTCCTCCACCTTGTCTTAGTTGTTACACCATTGATTCACTCACTTATTGGCTGTTGATTGTGTGACAGCTGATCTATTCGGCAAGCTCGACGAACAGATCCATTACCGCCTGATTAACAATCAATAAACTCAACCGAACTCCCAATATTTAAACATGTTGCTCCCGTTACCGGGCTCTTATTTGATAATGTCTGCTCACTGTGCATGATTGTTTTTTAATTTTCATTCATTCCAACTCCCACCCAAATCCAACCCCCGTTGTTCTTTACTTGAAATCCAACCTACTTATTGTGGTAAATAGTAGGCAGTGGTTTAGGTTTGAACCGGATATCGGCTTGATTGGACGGAGCAGACAGGCCTTTCGAATTATGCTATTTACCAGGAGATGGAAAAGGAAAAAAGGAGATACGTAGTGCGTTATTCGATCAAAAACATGTAGGAAGCCTACACTTCGACGGCTCATTCGGGCAATCTGGGCACAAGTGGCCCACAGAACTACAGTCCACTGCAGCGTTTATTCCAGTCTGACGTAAAACACAGAGCTGTTTTTTTGCTAGACGATAGGTTGCCATGAAGCGTTTGACGAAACTGTTGCAGTCGGTAGTTACCCTGGATGAAGTCACTACCATATCGGCCGACGCGCGTTTACTAACGATGTCATGGTGATTTGGTCGGCACCAGCCTGAGGACTCGATTATCCGAAACCTCAAGACGCCTCATATCCGTTGACCACAGAGTTTCTTTTCTTTCGGCTGAATAACAGCACAGTTTGTCGTATGACCTAATACGACTTTTGGGACCCAGTAATGTATCTTTCTGCACTATAAGAGACTTAAACTGGGGCTCATCCGTTTACTTTACCTCACAGAGAAAAATTTACCAGGCACACTGACACTCAGTATTCTCTCTGGAGTGTTGTTGGTCCTTAGCGTCCGGTCCTTACTCGTCTTTCTCCGGTACCTTCTGGTAGGCTCCCTAAAGTGCGCATCCGTACTGTGTATAAAATATGTGTTCCTCATAGTTATTATCCTTTGTTACAATAAGACCATGTTTCCGTGATCAACTACCACCATACCTAGAGCCAAAATAAACTAGTAAACATATTTAAATATTGACGACGATCGCACCACCATTCTCTTCTTAAAAATCATCTCATTGACAGTATAAAAGCTAAGGAGTCGAGTCTTCATCACTTTCCCTGCAAAGCAACAAAGTAGACATTTGGTGCGCGACATACCTCGATTGGGGGAGCGCTTTTAAGCAGCTTTTGTGCAATCACAAAAGGTTGTACATGTCTCCGTTTTTTCCACAGGCTTTTCGCTAGTGGTGAATTAGACAAAAAGTCCATTCACTCTAAAACCACCCAAAATGGTCTCCTTTCACCAGAAGGCCTAACTTTTTGCAAGCTCCATTTGTCACACTTGACCGCATTGATGTTAGATCACACTCAGTTTTGCATGCCATTACTGTGGTTTATTGTTGTGAAATGTTTCGGTGTGTAGCTATTCTATCGACTAACTCCCGTCGGTTTCTTGCACGTCGCTCGAAATTCTCCCTTCTTTCAATTCCAGGCAGCGTAATGATAGTGATCATGAAGGCAGTCTCTTTCAGCTTCGATCTGAAAGAGCCCGCTGAAGGTCATCTATCTGAACCTGCGTCAGATGATCGTCATCTGACTTCTACGTTTGCTGCTTACCGCCTAATCTCATGGCTTGCCTACTCCCTCTGCCCTGCTAGTTTAATCTTCGGTCCGTGGTTCAGTTTCTTTCGACATCAGCAACGCCTTTTTCAGAAGCAATCTCATGAACCTACAGACTGGTATTCAATTCGACTGGTGAGTCTTATTGCTCTGTTCTTCCCACAACCGCTCAAATCTTTGACCATTTCCCTTCAACTGAGTGGGAAGCCTTGAGTTCATATATCTTAGTCGTTGCATCCGATTCCCCCGTACGATTATTCAGTCACGCTTTCTTAATAATAAACCGCTAGTAATCGTTCAGCTGTAACACCCTTTCGGTACCTGCCTGCTTTGTGGCTTGATGGGGGCGCGAAAGATGAGATACTGCCAGACTGCCTAATTTTAGACGAGTAGTTGGCATGTCAGTGTTGAGTCGGAACGACGGACCATCCGGGCAGGAACTTTGCCCCTGAACAACTGAGCTACTTCGAGCTCACGCTATATTCTTTCCTCAAAACATCATTGTACAGTTATGCCTGACTCAGTGCCGCAGCACTTAAGACGTAAGCTGTCTACGGACTCTGTTGAGTACATCGGATGTACGTTGGATCTCTTTTTCTCCTCGACAGTATCCACTTGTCCTTCGATCGTGCTCGATAATTTACTGCCGACCACGGTCAAACTGTGGGCTATCTCAACTCTATGCGTCCTTGTTCATGAGGGACAACATCACTGCTTTCCCAACTACGGAAATGCTGGCTGCTCAAAGGAGTCATCTTTGCACCCTTATCACCACGTACAATGGAATAGTAACGCTGGCTTGCTTCGTTTTACGGTTGCTCGCCGCCCTTTATTCGCTTACTCTCCTTTGGTCTTCTCACCGTGGATAAACCTTCAAGATTAATTTTCCAATCGCTGTAGCTCGGTCAGGATGGCCGATCAGCTTCCAGCGGTTTTCTTACATACGTCTATCTTTCTGTGTATGTTTCGTTCCTTTTTTAACACATGCTTAGATAGGAAATGTCTGGTAGCAGATCACGTCATGAAGAGCGCTTAACATCCGAAGGATGGATCTCAAGCATAATAAACGTCAATCGATCGACTATCTATCACTCCGCTTTTTTCCTCCTCTGCTGTTTTCTTTGATTTCCAGCTTGTGCGTTCCTTTGCCCACGTTCTGTCAGCCCTCACCTGTGCCTTATTCTCGCTCCTATGGTCTACTTGCCTTTCCAACCTGGTGCTCTCTCAGCTGGACGATGAGACGTAGGTTTTCCAAGTGTTATCTGATATCTTTCTATCTTGTACTTGGTTTTTCATTTTAGTGTGTACTACTCTGATAATATCGTGTCTTGTACTGGACTTATATCTTTTGCATAGTAACCGAGTCTCACTCATTAGTATTCAATAACCTTTCGGCTTGAATTTGTATTCCATTGTTTCATCTTTCAATTTCCTGACAGGTTGGGTAAATGGTGCTGTTGAACCGAGGGGGCGAAGGAACCGTTTCACTTAGTTGTTCCTACCCATGTTTAACACTTACAGCGGTTAGTGTTCTAACGGTCCGCAAACCGAGTATCAAGATTTCCAATCGATTGAACGAATCAGCTGCGTAGTCTTTGCAATCACCGGTGCCTACATACAACTGAAATAGTGCTTCTTGCTTGTGTACTTGTCCATTGTTGGTCATATTCCTAAGCAGTAGTTCCATAGGCGAGTATTTTCGGGATCATTCTACTCAGAACACCTTTTGCAATAAATTCCCCTCAGCCATTGAGACGGCATTCATGGATGATTCATTCCGATGTTCGGATTTTCCAGATCTACTGCCTTATCAGGGTATCGCCACGCATAGACAAGGAGAGAGTTGATAATCACACTGGGCCGGGAGACGTGTTTTCCTATCCGTTTCCTAATTAATGAACAAAATCTTTGTCGATCTGCGGTGGAGACACCAGCACTGTAGTTCTCGATCGGAGAATAGTTTGTCCTCCAATATGTTACACAGTGAACAGTTCAGAAATAAGCAAAATAAATTCATTTGTATACCAATTCGGGTTTTTTTCACAGGAGACTCACCCAGCTGAATCTTTCGTTTATGATGTTTTTTAAGGTGAAACCGGTCGTGGGCTATCGAAGAGTTCTCAGCAACCTTATGAGGAGTAGATCACGTCTATTTTACAGATAAATTTTGTCATACTTTGAAAGTAGGACTGCACCTCAAGTTTCCGAATATGTTCCTGAGTCTGTCATTTTAGCATTTCTATTCGTCGTTAGTGCACCTCAGGGACCCTATAATGTCGCGATTAAATCTTGGCCAGTGGTCATGTCAAGTTATCTTTTGTGAGTCGAAATTTGTTTCATATGAGTACCACCACATGCAATGTTCGAAAAGGTTTCTCTCTCTACGCTAAGTTGGTACTCATACATGACAAATTTAGCAACTGTGTGCGGAACCAACCTAATAAGTACCTGTTTTTTTTT